TGGGATGTTCAAAGGAAGACCATTAGCTCTTAGCCGACATTGGGAAGGAAGACAGTCCTCTTTTAAAACACACCTTTCTGCCTCCAAACATACCAATGATGGTTTTAGAAAAAAAACATTTGACTATGAGTCCAGAGACCTGGGGTCTATTACTAACTTCAATTTGGATGAGAATCTTGAAAATTCTCTCACATTTTGGGCTCCACATTCCTCTCCTAGATGGAACGACGGATGATTAAGTCTCCAGAGTTAAGACTAGGAACACCCCAATTCTGAGTGACACAAAGGGAGTCCTAAGTGGCTTCCGTTGTCCCTGGTGCCCCATCTCTTCTGAGACTGGACTGTGGTGTGGCTGCTTTACTAATGTGGCCTGACATGGCCTCAGCCAAGGGCTCCTTCCTCTGCAAGGCCAGGTGGGGCTCCTAGCCTGTTCTCCTGATCAGTCCCAGCCAGCAGGGAGGGCCCTCCTGAACTAGCAGTGGTGCTGAGAGTTTTGGGGACACCAAACCCAACCTGTGACCTGAAAGACTGATCATCTGTGAGGGAAGATGACAATGAACATGCCTAAAGAACAAGGAGATACGTTTTCCCCATCATGACAGGAACTACACGGTCACTATGCAGGGAGCACTGGTCAGGTGAGCAGGGGTCACCTCCCAGCAGGGAGCACTGGTCAGGTGAGCAGGGGGGCACATCCCAGCAGGGAGCTGCCACTTGGCCTGTGGGGCTGGAAGGGCAGGCAGTGAGAGTGGCCATGTGCTGATAGGAACTGGATGAAACAAACAGTGCCAACACCAAGGCACTGAATGGCAATCACATGGACAGAGGGTTTTAGTAAATTACCAAAGTATTAATTGCCAGCTGGCTCATGACCAAAAAGTTTCCATTTGTGTATTGGTAGTTTTTCACCCAGCTTCTTTATGCCTGGTTTCTGATTAAAGATAAAGTAAGTCCTTACTCACTTTTCTGTCACTGTAAATTTATTACTCTCAGCACACTGATGTCATTGCATGTTCACAGTCCAGGGTCCCCTCAGGAGGCCCTGCCCTGTGACCTCTGACACAGACTGATGTCACTGCATGTTCACACCTGAGGTCCCCTCAGAAAAGCCTGCACTGGGTCCTTGGAGTCCAAACCCACTTCCTGGCAAATGGGGTCCCTGTACCATCAGCTCTGCTAATCCTGAAGCATTTGCATTCAGGGATATGGCTACAAAATCACCAGATTTAGGGTTTCTCAAGGGAAGTGGCCAGGGTCTGATCAATTCCTCATCACCCACCCCCCTGTGTGTGTTTAATAAAACCTGCTAAACAAACCTCCTGGGTGAGAGAATTGGCCAGTGCACGAGCAGGGGGACCACAGGATGGCCTTGTTGTCTCTCCTCCCACGACATAAGCCAAACTCAAGACCAGGGGTCCCAGCCAAGAAGACATTAAGGAACGTGACCCAGAACATCCCACACAGCCTTTCAGACGAAGAGGCTCTACCCTTACGTCCTGTCCAGGATGCTTTCCTCAAGTCTTAGTCTGTTTTCTGGTGCTCAGGACAGAAAAATTTAAATGGAATGATTCACAGACAAAAATAACATATTTCTCTGAGTTACCAAGGGTGAGTACTCCAAAGTTTAGGGTGTTCACCTGGGGAGGGCCTTGTTGCTGCTGTGACCTCTGCAGAGCACTGACAGGCTACATGGCAGAGGCCGAGGGTGGCACGTGCCAGAAAGATTTCCTAAGCTTGGGCCTCTCAGCTGTGACACAAAGCACTGAGTCTATATCAGTGGCCCCCTGTTGCTCCTGGAGGACTCAGGAGCAGAGAAACCCACTGGGACATGAAAAGCCCACATGGCCTGCTGTGATGGGAAGGTAAGTCTTGTCTCTAGCCCAGAGTCTCCTATCTTCCCTAGCATCTGTGCCCTGTAGCAGATGCCTGGGTGCCTGCATGTGGAGGCAACTTTAACACTCCACAGTTCCTGACACGTAGGTCACACCCTCTGAGCGCCTCTCTGGCCCAGTGCTAAGCTGCCATTCACCCTCACACCCATCTCAGCCATGTGGATCATAGCAGCCACTTCTGCTCCTCCCCAACATGGGTAAAATTCCCTCCCGATCTGGGTACAGAACAATATAAAGTCACACAAAAGCCCCCATCCAGCCTGTGCACAGGCAGAAGAAGGGTTAGGAGAAGCCTCATCAGGGACTGTGCTCTCCCCACAGGTCAGCACAGCCACTCTCAGGGAAGGCCAGTCTCACCTCAGAGAGAACTGCCTTCCCCTCATGGGTCAGCAAGGCTACATGAAGGGAACTGGTCAGGTCTTGGCCCAGAGTGCCTCCTGTACACACCAACAAGATTAATTAAGCTTAGTTATGAATCAGTCCTAAATCACAAAGCTCTAAGCTTACAATGTGAATCCTTCAAGAGAATTTAGAATTGAAATTGACTTTTGTTTGGATCATTTAGGTGTTTTATTTTTTTCAGATTCAATGTGTAATAAAGACAAAGATTTCCATGGCAGACTTACTAATCTTGTGCGACTTAAAAGTGGCCATTACAGACATGTCTCGTGCTTCACCTCCCTCTGCTTTATGACAACTGTGTGCACCTGTCCTGTGAGCCCACTCATCCCCCTAAAAATGCCTGCACTTGGCTCTGGCTGCTATAGACCCTGCTTCCCATCACTTATATTATCTTCATTCTGCTAACGTTTACTATTTATATCCCTGGCATTTCAGCCATGCATATTTCAGAGAGAAAAAAAGCTTTGAAACTCAAGTTGTTTTTACCCAGAGAGGGGCCAAGGCCTAACCCTCCCTGAAGGGCAGCAGATTCAGGACGAAGCTCTTCCGAAAAGTCAAAAAGGTGAAATGTGTCAGACACAGATATTTTTGCTGTAGAGTTAATGTTGGAAATAAGAGTGTTGGATACAAGAAGATGTCCAAGAAGAAAACCGAGTGATGTGTTTCCCCACAGCATCTGATAAGGGGCTGTCTCAGGGCCTCTGTCTGAATCTGCCATGTTCCTTCTGCTCCAGCTAGTGCAAGCTGCATGGCTTTTGCAGACTCTACCCTGGGACACCATGGCCCAAGATGTCTGAGGAGGTCCACACACAGATCAGCCTCTCAGACGGAGCCCCAGGGAATACTTCCAATGTGCTGACCACCTTCCTGACTGTGTGCTGAGAGCCATAGGTAGGTGGCCACAGAGGTCTGCATAGGTCCTGCAGAACTTTTTTCTCATGTATACTTACAAACGTTTAAGAAATTGGAACACTTTACGTAAAGTATGCATTTCTGATATTCTCTGAAGGCAGGAAGCTGGGCAATTTGGAACCAGCACTGCTCAGAGTAATGGTAGCTGGAGGTGAAGAGGGCTGTCCCTGCCCACCCCAGCCCCTCCCCTGAAACTAGATAACTCTAAAGACTTATTTCTTCTCAGCTGAGCATCTCAGCTCTCTGAATCTTCACTGGAAATAACAAGCCAGCAGCCACCTGTTTCTGATGCACGTCTGTCCAGTCACTCAGGGAGCCTGATGGGCAGCTTGCAGCTCCCCATGGACAGACCCAGGGCATGCTTGCTATGGACCTGAGCTGCTACACTGCCTTCCTCTGAAGAGAGTTCAACCAGACAATCTGGAAGCCATGGCCTCCAGAATTATGTGTGCACTGCAGAATCACAGTTCTTGAGAGCTGGAAGAAACCCTGGGCCAGCACCCTCAGTTCAGATGAGGAGATGCTCAGTGTGGCTGCCGGGGGCTGCTGAGCCTTGCCATGGGGTCCAAAGTGATGTGTTGTAAGCAGAGAAACACTGGTTTCTAAGACTTAAAGGTCTGAAAGTCTTACAGGAATGAGAATGTAAAATTCATAACATGTCAAAATGATTAAGATTAGAATACGTTTGGGTAAATAAAATGTATTATTTTTTTTTTTTTTTTTTGAGACAGAGCCTCAAGCTATCCCCCTGGGTAGAGTGCCATGGCATCACGCTCACAGCAACCTCCAACTCCTGGGCTCAAGCGAGTCTCCTGCCTCAGCCTCCCAAGTAGCTGGGACTACAGGCGCCCGCCACAACGCCTGGCCATTTTTTGGTTGCAGCCATCATTGTTGTTTGGCGGGCCCGGGCTGGGATTCCAACCCGCCACCTTAGGTGTATGTGGCTGGCGCCTTAGCCGCTTGAGCCACAGGCGCCAAGCCAATAAAATGTATTATTAAAATGAATTTCACATGTTTGTTTTTACTTATTTTTAACTAATGTTGCTGCATTCTCTGTCTACTGGCAGTGCCAGTCCGTGACAAAGCCACCACAATTGAGGCCCTCCGTAGGACAACAGACCATTTTAACACAGTCTTGCTTTGATTTAATTTCTTTCTTGAAGAGGATAAAATCAAGACAAAGAGCAGACAAAGAGAAAGCTGAGGGACAACATTTTTGCTACTATTTATAGATTGGGTGCTATCCTGGGGCCCTGAGTCTATAAACAGGTTGTGAGCAGGCTGGGTCGAGTGCATAATGTCCCAGCAGGCCTTCTGCTGACCCAGAGACAACAAGCTGCATGTTCACAGTGCTCACAATAGGCCTGTCTTCAGCAACATGGGAGTCCCATTTTCCTGTTTGCTTTCTGTTAAGTTTCTACCATCCTAACTAGACCAAAATCATCCGTGATATAACTAAGAATTTAAAATGCAAGAATTCAGATAAATGTTTATGCCCTGGAAAACCAGAGCTGCTTTTGCAAAGCATAAGGAAGCCCATGATATTATTTTAGTAACTGTTGCTGTTATCTCAAACCATGGAAACGGTTACTGTTAAGGATTAAGAGTTTTTTGAAAAAGGTTTGTTCAAAGACCTCACCGATAAAATACTATAAGTTGTACTAGCAGTTCATTAACAAACAGTGGAAAGCTACCCTTAAAAAAAAAGTGCCAGTGACCTGAAAGCACAAGTTATGAGTGAGTTGTGAGACATTCGCCGGTCAGCCAGTCTTACCACCGAGCCGCCCACCTTACCTTTGCGATTTTCTGTTTGAGACCTCAGAAGCCCTGCACATTTTGCTTCTTCCTCCTGTATTTCTAGGTGAAATCGGCACTCTGGGTGAATGCTATTCACCTGTTCAAGTTAAAAGATATAGAAATAACTGAAAATTCCATAATAAGAGGAACGCCAAGGAAAAGTTCTCTAGAAACAACCTCACAGTTCTAAATTGCATCCAAACTAAAATTTGTTTAAAAGAAATTACCTTCATTTTTCTGGCATGGTTATTTAAAAAAAAATCAGTATTTACTTTGTAAAGGTATTGGAAAACAAATATAAAACTTAATGGAACATTTTTGTTTTCTAAGCAGGAGAATAAACTCACTACGGGCAATAGAGTTCTTCAATCCAATAATCTGTCAATATGCAAGAGTCCTCTATTCACAGCCCTTGATTTGACTAAAGTAAACCCATGTTTACTTTCAGACCATTCTTAGTGAGGATGGTATATACAGTTGCCTGCAGGCTTCATCCCAAGTGCCCACAGGAAAGACTTGTGATAAAACAGCCTGAGTTTTAAATCCTTCAGGACACATTTGTGCTTAACCCCACAGATACAGATAAAATTGTACTCATTGTGACTTTAGAATTTGATTTGAAAGAGCTTTTCAAAAAAGATGAGAGAGGTGAGTAGGAAGGCAGTCAGGACCGTCAGAGAACCAAAGATACTACATGAACAGTAATTAATACTGTCTGTTAACAGATGTAAAAGACACAACTACATAATGTTCAGTCTTAGAAGATGACATTCCCTGATCTCTACTTTTACAAAAGTTCAACATTCCCACCTTCCCCCAGCCCCCAAGTATCCACGCTGTACACTGGCACTGCTCTCAGAATCTTGGGCTCACTCTCTCTCCCTCCCTTCTTTAGTCTCTGTTTCTTTCTGTCTGACCAAACTCTTTTTAAGTAGTAACTAAAAAGAATCATACTCTAGGGTGTATTATGGGTATCTCATTTAGTTATCCTACCACTGAAATAAATCAATTAGAATTTCAACCAGGAATAAAATTTCCTAACAGAATTAAGGGAAGAACCTTAATCCTGGATACTTTTACCACATTTACCTCCATTTAAGAAAAACTTGGGTCTGTCTGTTTGTAGCTCACTACTGGACAAACACCAACCATAGAGACGCCTGGTTTCAGGTGCGCTGTTTTCATATATGACCATTAAGTCAATTAGGGATATTATTCCTTAAGGTATTGAAGACATCATAAGAATGGAAGAAAAAGTATCCAATGTACACATCCCTATTATGAAACTAATCTATACCTTTTATATGAAAGCTATAACCTAATAACAGCCTAAGAATATGGGGAAGAGGGAGGGAGATGGGAGGGGGAATGGGTGGAGGGAGGGGGATTGGAGGGATCACTTCTGGGGTTTATCTTACAAGGGTACAAGTGAATCTTTCTAAGAGCGAATGTGAACGTTTTTAAAATAATAACTAAGAAAATGACATGAGGGCTATGTTAACCAGTTTGATGGAAGTGTTTCAGATTGTGTGTGAAAACCCCACACTGTACCCCAGAAGTGCATTAATGTACATAGTTACCATTCAATAAAAAAAAAAGGTATTGAAGACGCTATATTATCTGACATTTCTGGAATGCAGAGCAATGATTTTCTTCAGGACATTTTAGAAAGTAAAGCAGTGTCAATCCTAACAATTACTGATGCTTTTTAACAACTGCATCTTGCAAAGCATGGGCCTCGCTCCCTCCTTCCACACCTGGGTCTGGCAACAGCCAAGTGGCTCCTGCCCTTCTGGAAAACCCAAATATCATCGGCAGCCACGACTTTGCCTAAGCAGCTCCACCCGGGGGGCTAAGGGAGGGGAAGTGTCAATAAGACCCGGCTCGGCCGCCGTGCACGCGCATCAGAGGTGCACGGGAGAGGGCATCAAGAAATAAGGCTCGAACTTATTTCTTAAAAGATCTTCAGATAAAGGGAATAATTCTTGGGAACTACACTGTATCGATGCATTAATTTAACAAACTTCAGCGAATCATTTCCTCGGTGCTCTTTTAAAAAAGCAAACTATTTCCAAAGGAAAACTTTCTTTAGCCACACCACACTCCCTCGACATATACTAAAACAGACACAAACCAGGGGTAGGTACGAGTAGGGGCAAGAAGTGTGAGGACAAAGCAAGCTCCGAAGTCCCTGTAAGTGCGAAGCCCGCGCGCACCCTGGACGAGCCCCGCACACCTGAGAACCCTAGACCCGAGACCGAACCGGGCCGCCCATCTCTTGGAGCTCCAGGAGGAACCGGATCCGCTGGCAGCGCTCCCGGCACCGCAGGAAGGGGTAGTCCTGGACCCCGCGGGGCCGGAGCTACGCGCTCCAAGATCTGAAGCGCCCCAGACGACCCGCCCCCTTCCTGAGTCGGCCGGGTGCCCAGCGTCCCTGGCCGGTCCTCCGAGCTCCGCGCTCCGGGGCTCGGGAGGCGGGCGAAGCCCCGCGGGAAGAGCGTTACTTTCTGGGAGGGAGGACGCCGATGCGGGTGGAACCGGGCAGGGGTTGCGGGCGCACTTACCGGGGCAAGCAACCAGCCGCAGCAGGTCAGCAGCGTGGGCGGCAGCAGTGCGGGCGCCCTCATCCCGGGATCGGCCCGCTGGAGCCCCCAGCGTCCTCCGCTTCCCTCCCAAGCTCCAGCGGCGACTCCTAGGCCCGCACTCGGGCTCCAACAGACTGAGAGCCGCGCGTAAAGTAGCAGCTGCTTCTGTTCCCCTGCGCCCCAGAGCACACCCGCCTGCGGGTCCCGGCCGCCCCGCCCAGCGCCGCGCCGCGCCCCTGTCCCCGCCCCGCGCGGTCGTCCTCCTTCTCCCCAACGCCACGCTCCCTCTTTGTGGTCTGGTCCCAACCCCACCCGCTATCGTTAGTCTCTGCACCAACCCTGGTTCCCCGTGTCTACCCCTTCTGTGCACCGAGGGGCTGGTGAGGATGCTCGTGCGTTGGAGCGGGGTGCTCGGCGCGCGCCCCGCTCTGGGTGGAGAAAAACCCTCGGAGCGGCGGGCGCCGGCTGGGACCAGCAGGACCCGGGTCCCCGGCTATGGCTTCCGCGAACGGCGACGCGTCTGCGGTACCCTGTGACCCCTGAGGAGGGGCAGCCTAAGATGCCCGAGACCACAGAGAGAAACCCATGAGGGAGGGGGCGTCCTCTGTGCCTGGTCGGGCTGGGATGGGGCGACTGAAAATTGAGACGAAATTAGAGCGAACAGCCTCGAAAGGAGAAATCAGGTTGACCAGAAAAATCTGGTTGTGCGTAATACACTAGGGTCGCAGTCTCAGATTAGTGGCGGGTTCTACGTTTGCAAAACAGGGAAATTCATTCTCTATCAAAGTCCTAACCGCGAGGCGGTCATGGTCCCACCGCGCCAGGAGGGGCAGCCCTGCCTCCAAGGGTTGGCCTCATTGTCCAGCAAACAGAAGGGCACTGGAACGAGAAAGGGAACAGGTGATTTTTGTCGTTTTAGGTTTGCATTTGGAGATAATTTCAAACGTACACAAAAGTTAGAAGAAGAAGAAGAGTACAGAAAACCTCCATTACCCTTTGTCTAGAGACAGCCATCAACGTTCGCCTCATTGGATTTATCGTTTGTGTTCTGGTCACTCCTACCCTGCATCTATTGATACTCGCCCATCTGTCATCATCTGCCTATCTATCACCTGTCACCTGTCCATCTGTCATCTATCTCTTGCCTGTCATTTACCTGTTATCTACTATCAGCTATTACCTATCCTCTACCCGGCATCTACCTGTTATCTACTAGCAGCTATTATCTATCCTCTATCTATCATCTCCCTGTTGTCTACATATCAGATATTATCTATCCTCTACTTATCATCTACCTGTTATCTATTATCAGCTATTATCTATCCTCCATCCATCATCTACCTGTTGTCTACCTATTAGATATTATCTATCCTCTATCCATCATCTACCTGTTATCTACCCATCAGCTATTATCTACTCTCTACTAATTGTCTACCAGTTATTTACTAGCAGCTATTATCCATCCTCCATCCATCATCTACCTCCTTTCCGGCCTCTACATGTTATCAGTTGTCTGTCATCTGTCCATCCATCTCCATCTGTCTGTGTCTGCCTAGTGGGACAGAGTATTAGAGAATAAGATCTAGATTTTGGCTGTGTAGCCTGGGATCTGGAAACTCACTGCTTATGTTTATTAATTTGATAAATATTTCTTTTACTTACTCTTCCACATGGGCAAGCCAAAGAACTTTGAACTATTTGCACATTTGTAAAAGGGAAGATAACATCTACCCTCTCACTTCAGAGGGTCTGTGAGGATCAAGATGATTAATGTACACACAGATGTGTTGAACATCTGCACCTTAAAAATTACTGCACTAGGTGCAGTGAGGGTCAAATGCTGGGGCAGACACAGGCCTCTTCCCCGTAAGAGTTCATGGTCCAGGCTAGGGTCATGGACATGGGGGAATAACTAGAATTACAACAAGATACAGGCAAAAGGGAGGAAGAAGTATCTTGTTCTTCATCTGAATGCGACTGGATCAGTGTCAGCATTTGGCACTCAGGAGCAAACTGAGAGTGCAGCCTTTTGCAGTGTGTCCTCTAGTCCTCATGGCAGCCTCAGCACCTGACCCTTGGCAGGCTTCGGACCAAGTGTACTTGTCAGTAGCACTGCCCTGGACCCCTAGGCTGGGCAGCAGAACTTCTAATACACACCTGGCCTACTTCTCAGGACAAGTAGGAAGATAAGATTGAATACCAGCCACAGAAAGCTTCCATGGAACTTAGAAGATACAGATGTGAAGCTGCTCTGGGATATGCTGGTTGAGGTGGACATGTCATGCCACTGGGCTCTGATCTTGAGAAGGGTCAGCCCATCTGCCCTGGGTATTTTCAGACCTCTCTGTCACCAGAGAGATAACAAGATATACAGATATACAGTGAGATAGATTCATTGCACAAAATTCCCAACAGCTGCACACCCTGGAAAGGCCTGGCAGTGCCAGGCTGACAATAGCCTCTTCCAGATGTTAGAAAACTGAGCGCCAGGGTAGCAAAGCTCTCAGCATCTTTCACTTTACAGCATTTCTGCCCCAGTCCAGTCCTGCAGCGGTCTGAGCCTGGTCAGGAGCCAGGTCAGCTGTGGGATGTAGGGATCTCTGTCTCTGCTGCACATGTGCACCCTGCACCACCTGAGTCTGGGCTCTGCAGGGCCAGAGGAAGGAAAGCCCTTTCTGAGGGCCAGCACTGGTGCCTGTGGCATAGAGTTTCTAAATACAGCTCCCAGGAGTTCTTCAGGCCTCTTTCAATCCTTCATTGCTAGAGACCCTTTAGTTATAGCCCCTTTGATGCATATGATGCCTCTTCAAGTCAGCCCCAGAGGTGCCTACAGCCCCTGGGCTTTCCTTCTCTGGAGTGGCTTCCCTCCCCAGGTGGGAGAAGGACTTTCCAGACAGTGCATGGTGCACTGAGGAAGTCAGTGGTAGGGTGTGGTGGTTGCCTCCTGGCTGGACTCCGCTGCCAGGGACAGTGGGGGACAGCAGCTCCTCCTGTCTGTCACGTGTGGGCTTCCCAGCGTGAGTCAGCGACATTCCTATTGCCCATCAAGTCCCAGGCCAAGCTCCTCCAAATGGAGGCAAGAAGAAGCTTCCCCCATGGAGAAAGAAAACAACAGTGACTGTTTTCTTCAGAGAAATCCTCCCTCCACTTGTTGAGAGAACTCTGATTCTAACACAGCCTTGAGGAGGGTCCTGGGGTGATATTTGCAGACCCTGGTGGGGTCATGCTCTTGACAGGATCTCTGTCAGTGGTCCTGGCACCTCACTCTGAAATGTTGCATGTACAACCTTAACTGTGTGGCCTTTGGGGGCTGAAACACTGAGGTAAATGGTCCAGTGGCTCTGACATTTTGTTATGAGGCCCTCGGGAGCCTGGCCCAGAGGCCACAGGAAGATCTGAGGAAGAGACTTGCCCCAGGGCACCCCTGAGGAGGGGAAGCAAGGATGGTGTGTGGGATGTTTCTGGAAAGTCTGTGTTTGAAACATACTTTATGCAGCGATTTTCAACCAGTGTGCCATGACATACTAGTGTGCTGTGAAAGGATCTTAGTTGTATTGCAAAAAAATGTTTAAAGTCATTAATTAAATTATTTTTGAAAGAAGTTCAAAGCAGAGTAAATATATTTGTTTTTTACGCATATACCAGGGTGCGACAGGATCAAGTTGCACAGTTATTCCCTCTACAAGGTGTTCAGTTACTCCTGGTCCCTAGATGCTGCTTTCTAAGACAGTAAAAACAGTGGCTAATTGCAGCTTCTCTGGCCAGTGCCACTTCTTCCCTTGGTGACCCTCGGCTCCGCCTGTGGCCCTGGCCTTGTCATCTCCCTCTCAGGACAAAGTCCTGATTATTTTGATGACCTCGAACACCCTGAAAGGAAAACTAAATATATTTTAAAATTAGATTTAGCAGCATTTTCATATTCACTTGAAGTCTTTAAATGAACAAAAATAAACTTACATTATAAGAGGCTTTTTACCTAACATGTTGTCAAAATTGGAAAAAAATCCTTATAATTTCTTTTATTATGCCTTGTTACAAGACAAAAGCTCAGCAGTGTTTATATGCCCAGAATCAAAGCAGGCACTCCTCTTACCCTCACTGCATAATCATACCCCACAGTATCAGTTCTTCATCTGGAAAAAAGATAACTTTTCTAGGAAAATCACTGTCTAGAAAATGTCAAGACCAGGGAAATTTGTAAATACCTTAGGGCTGAATGGCTAGGTGACTCTTGGAGTGTCCTGACTGTGAAGCTTGGTTACTGGATAGTCTAGTCATGCAGGTGAAAGCAGTTTAGAAACTTTGAATCAAGTTAACTGACAACCACAAAAAATGAAAGGGGTAAATATTAAATTAAAAAAATAGACATAGGAACTAAACCACAATGACCTAGGGTGTCACTGCACAGTAACCTCTCTGAAGAGCCTGGACACTGATGGAAATGGGACAGTTAAGAAAGGCAACATGCTCACAACTCAGCCCCTCTGGGAGGAACCCTCACATTGCAGAAGATGAAGGCTGAATTACCATGAAAAGGGGGCAGAAAATTTGGTTCTGAGGGTAGGTTTCTCAACCTCAGGATTTGCTGTGACTTTACTTTTAATTGAGCTCAATTTTGTCATAAGCTGATTTGTACACTAAAATGCAAAGAGTTTTGGGTCTTTAAATCTTTTCTTTATTGTTCTATATTTGTTACAGTTTCTAAGTTATTACTTTAAAGAAGTTACTTCTGAAATTCCTAATGGAACAATGTATGCCTGTGGAAATATATTTTCTTTTAGTTTAACTTTTTCTTGTAATTTCCACTTAAGTAAAGTGTAATAGGTATCCATGCAGTCCTTGAGCACACATATGGTGCTGAATGCTGAGCCAGGTGCTAGGAAGCAGGAATTACTGGAGGCTTTGTCTGCCTGGTAGGAACTGACACCTCAGGGATGAGCAGAAGCTCATAGGAAAAAATATGTAGGTATATTAGTCAGGTCTCTGCTGAGAGACAGAGCCAGCAGAGAGACATAGACATAGACGTGGATGTAGATATGGATAGATGTTGATGCAGATGTGGATGTGGATGTGGATAGAGATGTGGATGTAAATGTGGATGTGGGTGTGGATGTGGATGTAAATGTGGATGTGGGTGTGGGTGTAGATAT